ATATTCACTGTTATGATATTGCATGTCTTCTTCTGTGAAATTGTCTTTTACAAACCTTATTTGCTATAAGGTTTTTCTTACACAGTGCCAGTCCGTAAAGGTTTTTTTAGCATCTAAATAATTGATGTAGGATGATGGTTTTGTTTCATCCTAATCATCTCCCATATGCTTGTTATTAGCTGCTGCTTTTCTCATTGACGCCTGACACATACCACCTCTCAACCCCTTCTCAACCACATTATCAAGTTCTGCATCGTGTAGAAGTTCAAGTTCAATTCCTGCTGTTAATAACATCGCATCCCAAGCAGAGTTAGGTAATGTAGAATAATGTGCTGGGTCTAACTCATAGTCTTTTAGACATTGTTTGCTGAAATTTTCATACACATCGGTCAATAGTAATACGTCGGTTTACATATAGAGGTCGTGATATTCAGCAAGGTTGTTAATATTAAAGTGCTTCCATAGTAGTTTTGCTCTTTCATAGTCAGCGTCGCTTATATCTTCTTCACTCAATCTGCTATAAAAATGTTTCTTTCTGGAAGTTCAGTGTCATTAATTTTCTTGAAGTCATTACAATAATCATAAGGATAGACTCCCTTTTCGGTCAGTAAAAACAAATATTTTTCTTTTTTAATGTATTTGCCTTTTTGACTGTAAGTGAAATGATTTCCCCAGTCAGGTCTCAACTTATTATCTTCATACTTTGTTAATTTAACAAGTTTTTCTATTGACGATGATAAGGAACTGAAACAATCCTTAAGTTCAAGTCTGGTTAATGAAAATGGCAGAAACTTCTTACTGTTCTGTGCTATTACTGATTTGCTCTCTTTCTTTGTATTTAACTTTTCAAGATTGGAAATTTTCAAGCGGGCGTCGTAGTTTTTAAGGTTGATTGTGAAAGAAAACAGCGATATGATATTTTAAAGCAATAATCTATATCACATTTCATATGTACCGCTCCTCTGTATAATCCTGTAAAGTGGCAATGGTCGGCGACCTTCTTTTTTGCTTCTACCTTGTTGTTGAAAGCACCATTACATACGAAACACTTTTTGCTTCTAAATGGTTGATTTCATCTAAATCTGACATAATCATATCTTTTGGTTTTTTCATTTGTTCCATTACATCGTCTCTAGTATTGTTCAAAGTGTCGCAAAATTTATCAATACAATCTTCACCTCTGTATAAAAATGGTTTCATTTCTCCACTATAAGCATTAACAATGCGTATAACCGCTGGGTTTATGATTTTGATAAGCCCCTTGGATGCCTTCTGATGTTTCTGTTGTTAAGCATTCAGAATCACCATAACTAACAAATGGTGCTTTGAGTTTCTTAAAATGCTTTTCAAATTTCAGCGTTGTTCCTTCTTCTGTAATTCTGTGTGTTGAATTTCATTTGCCATACAACCATTTATAAAGTGTGAATTTAAAAGTTTTTCTGTTGTAAAAGCGTGTTGGCAGTATCTACAACAAAAAACAGTTCCTTTGTATTTATTAACTTGACTACCCATTAATCTATTGTAATCTTTGATTAAAACATAATGTTCGCAAAGCTTGCGAGCCTCTGGTGAAGCATCGTTGTTGCCTTGTTCAATCCGTAATATGTTAATATGACAAGAGGGTCTTTTAAACTTCGTTATTCTGTCTGCTCTGATGGCTTGGTTTTCATCTTCAACATAAACATTAACTGATATATAACTTTGGCTAATTGTTTCAAATGTGTCAATGTCATCATTGGATGCTGGAAAATTTACACCATCCCATTTAATTAAGCTTTCAGTAGGCATGAATTTCCTGTAGTGTCTCATATGTTGTGGGTGGTCTCTCTTGAAGACTTCATAAAATTTACATAAAACACAGTATTTAAAACATAATTCATCTTCGTTCTGAATGTTCATACACGCCTTTTTAATTGAAATCCGTTCTGGTAGTGCAATATATTTACCTGCCCTGTTCGGGGTGTATTTATCGTAGTGGATGCTTATTTTATTAACTTTGTTAATTATCAATTCTGAATGTCTCAATGGTGAGTTTTCAATTTGTAGTTTAATCTCTTTAGGCATATTGTCAAGTGTCTTTTTCAAATCAGCAATGTTTAGAATGTTGTATCTCCTGCTTCTCATTTTGATACTGGTTTGTTCATCATTTTCATCTTCGGTAGGTATTCCAAGCGTGTTCGACGCACTGACAACCTTTTCTGAGTCATCACCACCTACATTAACTTTATCAAAATAACATCAACATCAATAATTATTTTCATTGATTTCCCTTCTTGTAGAAACTCTGTTAGTTTCTTTTCTTGCCATGCCGTTTTAGATATGTTAATCCTTTGTATCCCTTGAATGGTATGTTGGTTATTGAATATGTGTTGGCGTATCGTTTCAATGCTGACAGTGTCTCTGATGTTTTTGCTCTTGTTCTAATCCTGTGTTTCTGGATTGTTTTAATGCCTCTCATCGTGTGTGATGCTCTTTTAAGAAGATTAAATCTGTTGAAACCTCGTGTGGTGCTGACTTGATTGAGATTGTTTTGAAGTGATGTTGATAATGGTTTGTTTTTGTTGAAATAGTGTTCCGTGTGGTTTGTTATTCCGTTGTTCTTCTTTGTTTTTATGTGACCTTCATTATTGGATATTAGATAATCAATTACTGAACCTGTGCTGTATTCCCCTGCCATTTTAAGTCTTTTTGGGTGGGTTTTGTTGGTGGGTCTGGATTTTGTGGGTTTGGGTTCAACGTTGAAACTGTTGTTGCACATGCATCTCACCAGAGTGCCAGTTTCAAAGCTGGAACTTTGATGTATATATGTATATAGACCCCTGAACATTTAGGTGGTCATCCCGAAAAAGATATTTAGGTGGTCATCCCTGCGGGTGGCTCTGTCTCACTCTCTCCATGCGTTGGTTGAAACCCTTGTCGCGAGCTCTAACCCGGAATTCATTTAAGCCCTAAACAGGTTTCCACAACCCTATGACTACCGAACCTGAAAGGGAACGGTCAGTAGACGATGACGACGATGGCTTCACAACCTCAGAACAAGGATTGAAACATAACATGTCTAAAACAGCAAAATCTATGTCAATGCCAATGTCTCTTGTGAATGCGTCTTTCTGGAGATTGAAGGTTTGAAATCAAAGCCGGCTCATCTACATGCCTGTTCAAGATGCATGCCTATGATGGCAATTGATTCATCAAAGAACTCACAAAGACATCACCAAGAGGTGGCTTTTGCATGTAGAACCGAAAAGGGGTTTAGACTACCACCCAAAAGGGGTTTAGACTACCACCCAAAAGGGGTTTAAACTACCAACCAAAAAGGGTTTAGGCTACCACCCTTTCGATGACATCACTCATCGCTTCTGACTAAAGCGATTTCACACAATGCCACAGTTGGAAGGCCTTTGGTCTGTTGGACAGAACCAATCTCACAGCGAAGCATCTCCTGGGACACCTCCCGCAGGAATTTGGAACGGTCGAAGCGGACATCTCCTCCAAAGTTTGCGTGAAAGCGGTCGGTGTAAACGTTTATGAAGAAAGTGGCAAAGTCTGTTTGAAGAGCAGACAAAGATTAATCATCCAGCAGATTCATTGACGGGAAAAGAGCGTCAATGACTGACATGATGCGTTCAATCTGCTTGAGGGAAGCAATGTCAAGACTGAAGGAAAAGGACACTATCCATGGTCTTCCTTTGGTTTTCGAGAGGGGTCTTCATCTCCTCTGGAAACTTCTCGGTGTTGAAATCATTCTCAGGAACGGGCAAAGCCTTTTTGGCTTTCATCTTCAATCGCTTGAGCCCCTCCTCCTTGTTGATGTTCGAGCGAACAAGAGAACCACCCGCATTGTCGAGCAAAAGGGTAATCTGGTCTCCATCATCCAAACCAGCGCCATTGATGGTAGTCCTTCCCGACATGTCATGAAGTGCGAAGCTCCCTTCAACCCAAGCTGAATGATGCGCTGCTCCCTGAAAATGCCCAGGGTGGCACTGCGCCTCACCCTCACCACAAAAGACTGACCAGAGAAAGAGCAATTGATGCTAATGAAGAATCTCTGCCTTATTCTCCTTCTGACTTCTTGAGTTCATCACGCTCATTCTTTTCAGAGCGCTCTTTTTGATTCACCTCCTTCTTTACCATCTTGCTGAGCTCCTTGTAGGGCGTCGCTTGCCTTCTTCTTGAGCTTCTCTGCCCACTCCACCTTTTGGTCAAGCAACATCTTTGACAACAATGATGTGACTTGACACTGTCTCTTGTGAATTCTTATCACTCTCCTCGCTTTGTGATTCATCCTGCTCCTCATCGTCTGGAAAGATGACAGGAACATCATCATGGTCATGTGGTGGTTTGCCACCTCCACCGCTTGATGAAGCTGGACTTCTCATCCGCACTCACCACAGACATTGCCATGTCCAGACTGGTAGGAACCAGTCAGTTGCAACGCAAGTTGTCAAAAGCCAAATATTGCTCAAGATGAATATTATCAGACCATGTCTATCAATCCACAAGAGCATCATGCATATCGGCAAACCAGACAGACTGAGCGCCCCAGCAAACTGACAAAGACGAGCATGTTGAAGACGTGGTGTGGTGCAGGACAACCGAATTAACGGGCGGAACAACCGAACACCACAACAACTGACAATAACAGAGACTTTTAACATGACAAAGTCTTTTAAACTTCTTCAAGCGAAAAACTGTTCAAAAACTGAAGCTTGAACCCCAGAAACCTGAAAATGTCAATATCTTAGACTGTTATTAAATGAAACAAATGAAAAATGCTTGGAAATTGCAGAAAATCCCCAGAACCCCTACTTATGTTTTGAACAAAGTTGTTTGCTTGTTTAATTTCACCCCTGAACCCCTGAAGCTCCAGACCTGAAACCCCTTACCCTAACCCCTATTTTCTCTATTTTTTGACGGCGCCCGCATGGCTGGTGGTTTGGCTTCCCCTACCAACGCACGGCCTTGAAATGACGCGAAGCATCCGCTCCGACTCACGTCAGGTGAAAGATGTTCCAGAGGGTTGGAAAGATCCGGACTTTCCACCCAATGATGAGAGTATGGGGCCCAAGCTCACGTGCTACTGTCCGCCGAATGGATACAAAGCTCCTCAGACTCAAAGAATCTGAGATCGTTCGATTTGAATGCCTTTTGTGCTTAGTTCACGTATTGTTGTATCTTCAATCATACCTGCCGAATGGCCGTATGGCTCAAGTTCTTTAATCCTTCTTCGCGAAAAGCAGTGGAGCAGGGGCCTGCTGGTGGTAGGGGGTGGGCGGAGCGCTGTGTTTTCCTGGGCCTGGCACTCAAGCTTTCACTGTTGCAACTTGTTTTCCATTTAATTCTCAAACAACTTACTTTCTTACACCTGTTACGTCTCCTCCAACCTGGTCACCTCCCACAGCCACCACTGGTGTGATACCGGGTTCTTTGCCCTCATGTACTACCTTGAGGCCTCTTTGCCCAAAACCGCAGGTTATCAGCCGTAACAGCAAAAAGCTGTGGCTGGCGACCGCTTGCGGGGCGTGACCCGCTGCCTGCTCTACATTGCTTTTGTGTACGAGCAATGGCTTCATCTGGAGCCTCACATCGCGGGCCTACTTCGCGGACAGCGAAGCCCTGCCCGGCACGACAGTACTGGCGCGCCCAACGCCCGGCAAGCCGGCTTATGGCCTGCGCTTTCGGCGATGGCAGCAGAGCCCCAGGTTGTCTTTGATGAGGACGTGGAGCCGGCGGCGCAGATCGAGGACAGACCCCAAACACAGAAGGGCTCTTGTCCATTTCATCTGCTATCCCATTCGTGTCCGTCCAGTTCAAGAGTCAAAACGCCCGACCTGCGGTTCATCAAGGAGACACTGAATCTTGGTCCCTGACATGGGGCCAGGTAGACCAAATCCTTGGCATGGGAACTCAGACTACACCCACCGATTTCAACCGAATCGTGAGCAACTCCAGTGTGACAAGCTGAACGACCGAATCAACACCTTTAAAGAAGGTTGAGTTACCCTTCTCCACTGTTGCTGGAACTCTCTCGAAGCACGAGGCTAAGTTCCGTGAGATCAACGAATGGAGATTTAAGCGTCAAAGAGCAGTTGAACTTCGTTTCAAGGCCCTCATCGTCTCCGCTGCTGATCCTCGCAAGCAGGCCGAGTCTCTACAGAGCGTGAAATTAAGGTCTCCGAAATAGGCGAGATACGGAGGATCAATGGGCCAATACTTGCAGCGTTGTTGAGATGGAGGGGGCCCTCAGCGACAAACGGACGACACGTAGATGTTGAGACGTACGTCCAACAACTGGTTACCAGCACCGACATGATACAGTTGGGTAACAGGCTGTCCGCTGCCATAAACAAGCAGTCTTAGAGACAAGGGGAACTTAAGGCGTGAGGGCTCTGATTCTGCTGCTCATCCTCAAGGCCTCGGAAAGCGTGAAAAACATAAGTTTTTTGCGGAAACCTGCTTGTTGGTGAGGCTTCACTGGCCCCCGCCAAACCCGGCTTTGGAGATTGCATTGCCTACAGCGAAGTGTCTAGAAATAAGAGTGAGTGAGTGAGTGAGTGAGCGAGTGAGTGAGTGCGTGTGTGTGTGTTGAGTTGATGTCAGTGTGTGTGTGTTGTGACGTTGCAATGGGAAAGGTACTTACAACTGGCATGTTTTGGAGGCGCGGGCATTCTGCATGCAGATTGATTAGTCGTTGAAAACATGACATCCTGGTTCGACCGACACTTTCAGGCGCGCTTTTTCGAATGGCTCTCGCTGTTCTGTCGCCGCTCAGGGCTGTCCCGCCGCGGCCTTGCATCTTTTGCAAGTCCACGATGGGAGCCTGTTTCGCATGTACTTCCCGCCCCGGGGACGCTCTTGACCACAGGGGCAGGGAGGATATCGGCACTTCGCGCAGATGTATGGCTTCTGCTTCGGCTCCAGCGGCCTTTCCTTGCGCATTGTGCACTCAGGGAAATCGCAAGCTTGACATTTCCACTCTGTCCGCGCTTGCGGCAGTCGTGTGCTCGCCTTCAACCGCATCTTCGAGACCACTTAGTACTTCCTAACCGCTGCGTAACAGCTGCAGCACACCAAAACATGGTTTGCGATCGAGCACGCCGTGCCGTGCTAGCTTCAAATGGCGTACGCAAATCTACCCTCTGATAAGCTCCATCACACACCGCAGAGAACCGCAAGCTTGTGTATTCAACTGAGCGCTCAACTGGGGAAGCCTGAAGCGACCAAGTGCCAGAGGCAGTCCAGATGCACGCACACGCGCACACACACACACATACACATGCCACCGTGCAATCGCTAGATGTCACCGGGCGGTGCCGCGGTTTGAGAGCTCAAGTCTGCGCAGCCTGCGCGTTACTACTGTGCACTACCTGCCATCTTAGTAGATGTTTTTGGCCACACGCTTATGGGCCTGCTTCCTTCCGCAAACGTGCCTCGCGCAAGTTGCCCCGTGCTTCGAACAGATTGCAGTCAACTGAGGCTGCCGGCGCGGCCGGTGGTGCGTCAGCAACGTAAATCCGGCCGCGCCCCCCGAAGGGGGCGAAGGGGCTGTGTGTAGATCCCTCCCACCCGCTGGGGAGGGGTTTACCCCTCCCCTTATCCCTCCCCACAAAAATGCCCCCCTGTGCCGCCGACTTTCTTTCCCCCATATGTATCAGCCCATAGTGGGCCGGCAGGTTCAAGAAACACAATTCGGCTCTTGGGGCTACCCCCCCCCGAGCATGGGCCCCAACTTGGGCCCAGTTTTGCGCAAACGCTGGAAAACACTGTGCTTTTCTACGTTTTTGACGGCTGGAAAGGCGCAAAATGGAAACCTGCTTAACAGTGAGGCTATACTGATCCCATCTAAGCTCGGTTTTGGGCATGGTTTTCGCTCAATACATGAGCAAAACACTGTGTTTTTGACACTTTCGCAAGGGCGCAAGGCCTCGGAAAGCGTGAAAAACATAAGTTTTTTGCGGAAACCTGCTTATTGGTGAGGCTTCACTGGCCCCCGCCAAACCTGGCTTTGGAGATTGCATTGCCTACAGCGAAGTGTCTCGAAAAGAGAGTGAGTGAGTGAGTGAGTGAGTGAGTGAGTGAGTGAGTGAGTGAGTGAGTGAGTGAGTGAGTGAGTGAGTGAGTGAGTGAGTGAGTGAGTGAGTGAGTGAGTGAGCGAGCGAGGGAGTGAGTGAGTGTGTGTGTGTGTGTTGAGTTGATGTCAGTGTGTGTTGTGACGTTGCAATGGGAAAGGTACTTACAACTGGCATGTTTTGGAGGCGCGGGCATTCTGCATGCAGATTGATTAGTCGTTGAAAACATGACATCCTGGTTCGACCGACACTTTCAGGCGCGCGCAAGGCCTCGGAAAGCGTGAAAATCATATGTGTTTTGCGGAAACCTGCTTATTGGTGAGGCTTCGCTGGCCCCCGCCAAACCCGGCTTTGGAGATTGCATTGCCTACAGCGAAGTGTCTCGAAATAAGAGTGAGTGAGTGAATGAGTGAGTGAGTGAGTGAGTGAGTGAGCGAGCGAGTGAGTGAGCGGGCGAGTGAGTGTGTGAGTGTGTGTGTGTGTTGAGTTGATGTCAGTGTGTGTTGTGACGTTGCAATGAGAAAGGTACTTACAACTGGCATGTTTTGGAGGCGCGGGCATTCTGCATGCAGATTGATTAGTCGTTGAAAACATGACATCCTGGTTGGACCGACACTTTCAGGCGCGCTTTTTCGAATGGCTCTCGCTGTTCTGTCGCCGCTCAGGGCTGTCCCGCCGCGGCCTTGCATCTTTTGCAAGTCCACGATGGGAGCCTGTTTCGCATGTACTTCCCGCCCCGGGGACGCTCTTGACCACAGGGGCAGGGAGGATATCGGCACTTCGCGCAGATGTATGGCTTCTGCTTCGGCTCCAGCGGCCTTTCCTTGCACATTGGGCACTCAGGGAAATCGCAGCCGTGGCATCCCCTAGCAAGACTGTTGCAACACTGACTGCTTGCGCAGGAGAAGACTTCCGCGGGCCGCGCGCAGCCACATCTCGTGCTTCCTCAGGCACGTATAGCAGCCACGCTTCGAAAGAAACCAAGGTGTTGGCTGCGAGATTGTGCAGGGCAGACAAGGCAGTCACAGGAGAAGGCTCTGCCTGACAGTCAGCTGCCGCTCCTGCCCCCGAACGACGCCGTTTCTTCGGCGTGCCCAGCGTCTTGCTGCTCGCGGGCTCGACCTTTTCCGACGAGCTAGGATGCCCCTCCTCTGCCACAATGTGACGCAACCTGCCAATATTGCGCCCTGCGATGCGCCTCTGCCGCTGCCTGGGAGAGCTGTGAGGCCAAGCCTGACCACCTCTTCTTCCCACTGCTGACCCACCAAAGCCTCGATGCGTGGAACGTGTTGGGGCCCCAGCCGCTTGCAAAGCTCGGCTGCCTGAGCTCGCTGTTCGTCGTCTTTGATGTCCTCCACCGGCACTTCGTCTTCATCGCTCACCTCCTCCACCTTGCGCTCCTCTGCCATGCCGCCTGCCGCCCGATCGACGTGAAAGAGCTGAGTGTTGCCGAGCTGGGCTGCGGCTTGACCAGGCTGCTGAGCCGAACGCAGGGCCGGATTGCAGCAGCGCGTGCTTAACAGAAGCTACCTAACAGCTCACAGCGACTGCGACTAGCACGCGCGCACAGGCAAGATGCTTGCTGCTCTCCGCTTGACAACGCCTGTTGGCGGAGATGCTGGCGGTGAGGCTGGCGGCAGGAATCGTTACCGCTGATTGAAGAGTTTCGGTCTTGTAACTCAAACAACAATGTTTTTTTCACAGAGAGCGCGCCGTCGTACTTCAGGCGCCGCGCGAAGGGAGTGTTGTTGTGAGGTTGACTTTGATTATTTGCTAGAAGAGGGGAGAACAGAAGAGACAGATTCATGCCCTGAGCACGCGATCCGAGGGGACTGACCCGAGGATTCACCATGGCTGGGGTTGCGCGGAGATTGATCCGCGTACGCGTGTGCAGGGCTTGAAACCGTCTCTCATGTTCTCCTCTGTTCTGGCAGGGGGGTGGGTTGATTGGGGGTGATGATGATGTTGGTGCGCTGGCGACGCATTTGGTTTTTACATAGCCCCCGGGTGGCCATAACATCCGACCCCCCAGG